TCATCAAAAAATAAAACATTAATATGCAAGATTCCTTCAAAATATTATTGAAATGAATCAAAATCAAGCAGATCTCAAAAGAAAATATTAATTGTATTACTTGCTTTTGAAAGATCTATTTTGTAAAAAAAAAATATCCAATTCATTGGAACTAAGATAAGAAAGAAGTTTGATGGTATGTTTTTATAATAAAGAAGTAATTGGATATGATCTAAAAGTGTAATTTTACAAAGTACACAATTTTTTTTTTCTTTTTCTAAGCTCTAAGATTACTATAGATCAATGAAGATTTGACAAATAGACTTTGTCTGGTTTATTAGTTGTATGTCAAGTTCTTCCATACTCTCATATCTAATATGATTTATAGGATAAAGTACATATAACACATAATATCCTTCATTTGTGTTGAATCATGGCATTTTATATGAAACTCTTTTTTATTCAAAATCTTATTATTGTCTTTGATATTTTAAGATTAAAGCTTCATATGAAAGTCTCATATTAGTGAATGTTGCTAAATATTCAGATTTTCAAATTTTGTTCATATCTACATAAGAAGTCTATGCAAATACTATATATTAACAATTTTTACATCAAATCATTTGTAGTCAAAGATCTCTTTTAAGAAGCATTACAAGGTAAATACATTGAAGAAGGCCCAACAAGTTTTTTGGCATAATTGATTTGAGTGAGTCAAGGCCCCAACTCACTTCTAAAAATCAAATGAAGGATGACGAAGCTCTCTTACTACAAGTTTTTAGTGAAAGGATTCCGACTACTGATATCTATGTTCATTACATCAATCTAAGAAGTAGTGCAAAGATTAGGCACCTCAATGATCAAAAGAACTATTCTTCTTTGTTTTCTTATTCTTCTTCACAATTTGGTAGATTTGAGTCATAAATTGTGCAAATGTGGTGGTCGATGAGTTCAAAATTTGACTATTATAGGCATATTGCATCGATCTTCAAAGTAGTGAAGGTAGTAATTTATTGATCTTTCATTAAGAGGATTCATATCAATAGTTGTATGATTCTGTTATATTTATGTAAAGTCATTCTTTGTCATGTTATTTATTGTTGATAGAATTTGAAGCCTTCAATATTTAGCTCGGCAATATTGTGCTTGATAAATTGACACATCACTACTTTGGCTACCATGTTTTTGAACCATTTCTCAATTATATGAATTACAAGCAATGTCTTCAGTTTCTATTATGAAAATAAAATACTCTATAATTGCTGTTGTTGTAGTTGATGAATAAATTATCTAAATTAATGATATTTGTGCATAAAAAAATTATATATAAATTATTCCATAGTTTCATAAAAATTTGTGGCAATCACAATATCAAGTTTGTAATAATTGTTTTAGTACAATAAATAGAAAGATATATAAGAATTAGTAATTTTGTGAATGTATTTTTGAATCATATTAAATTAAATTTATTTTTTCTTTTTTCAATATATTTTTATTATAAAATTTACTTAATTATTATTGTATGCACTAATTTTTAAAATTTTCTTTATAGATGTGTTATAAGAAAAAAAATGAAATATGAATAAATTTTATAAAATAAACCAATTCTAATTTTTTTTAATTTTTTAATTTCAAGATAAATTATTTTAATTACAAAAAATCAAGGAATTTTTTTCAATTGTATTTTGTAATAATATCAAAGGATACAATGTTATAAATAAAATCAAAATCAATATACATTTTGATAAAGAACTGTATGTATGTATGTATGTATGTATGTATATATATTTGATAATTTATTTAATTTCCAGCCACATATTATTTTAAAAGAATTAGTTTAACTCACATTTTAAATTATTATAAAGTCACCAGTATAAATTTTCTTATTATAATGTTAAAATAATTAGTTATGTATTATTTAATTGATTTATTTGTGTTTTGTTCATTAGTGAAGCTTGCATTTGCTACATCATGATTTGATTTTTCATTCACCTAAATATTTTAAATAAAATTTCTTTATTTTCACTTATATTTCTCCAATCTAATATTTTTTTTTTTTTGTTTCTAGACTTTGATGTTATATTAATGTAGAATTAGTTTTAAAGAACTTGAATGCAAATTTTCTACTATTGTGCAAGGTGAAATGCTTAAGAAGCTGAGATCTTGATATCAACAAACTAAACTTTCTGGAAATCTATGTCATAAATCCATGACAATAATACAAGTTCAACTAATAATAGTAATAATAATACTTTCAGTTAAAAGTTTGGATCAATTAGTGTACTAGAGTTGAAAGGAAGGAGTAGTAGTTGGGAAGCAACATCTCTCACATTCATATAGAGTCAAGTTGGAATTTATTATATTTACATTTTTTTTTAAATATCTAATTAAGAGGCAATTGTGAAAAATTAATTGTGATTTTAGATTTGATTATGATATTCTAAATGTCACGGAATCCTTAAAATTATTTTTATTAGTTGATATGATTTTAGATAATTTGAATTTTAAATTGAGTAATCTATTGTATTTATAAAGTTTATATTAAGATCTTAATATTCTAGTATTTAAGATATTTGTTTTATATTTTATGTTTTAATCTTAGTTTTTTATATTGATTTAAGTTTTTTCTATTTGGCTTTGTTGTTATTATTGTTAGTAAACTTCATAATAAAATTAATGAATAAAACATTTATTAAGTTTAGTAGTAAAAAATCATTAAACAAGTACTTATTAGGCTTTGTTATGAATGAAACTTATAATTGCATAAGGTAAATACAAGCTATTAATTTATGTATATAACAACTTTGCATAGAGTTTTTAAATACTATTCAAAAATATCAAGAAAAAATATTTCTCACAAAATCTCATCAATTGTTTTTATTAAATTAGTTTTCAAAAACTTCAAAAAAGTTTTTTTTTTCAATGGTTTGCTTATTGTTTTTACTTATTGGTTTATTCTTTATCAAAACTAAAAATAAATAATGATGTTAATATTATTATTTAAAGTCATATTTTTAGTTTTTTTGCTATACCTTTATTAAAAATATATATATATATTTACTTATTAGTGATTTTGATTTTGAAAATAATAATATAAATATTGCACAAAGTTTATAATAGAGATATTCTAGAAATACAGTACTTAAATTAATAGATTGTTGATAGTAAAAGAGGAAAAATATTAGAAAAATTAAAATTCTTTACCAAAGTATTATATGTTTATATTTTACATTAAATATATAAAAATATTAATATTAATATTATATAGAATTATTCTTATATATAAATAATTATATAATATACTATTAAAGTTAATGATTCATCAAAGGCTTGGAATTCAATTATAATAATTGCAATTATAATTTGAAGAAATTAGAAATAAGTTCATTTCAAAAAAACATGTTGACCAAGTCATTGATGTATTATCAACTATATTTTATAATACACTTTATTATTTCTTTAAAAAAATTACAAATTAAAATTCTATGATTTATTTCATAATTAATTCCTTAAAATTTCATAAAATTTCATAATTATTTTATAAAATTTAAAAATTAGGAAATGTGATTTTAAAGAGAATTTAGAATAAAATCTTAATATCTAAATTACATGTTGCAACAAAATAATAAATTACTTATAAAGTTTTAATAAAATTAAAATTTATTTTAAAATAAAAAATAAATAAAAATCATTTTTTATTTTTTAAATATTAAGTCTAAAATTTTAAAAATAATAATCATTATCTAAAAAAATTAAAAGATCATTTATGTATAATTAAAAAAATTATTTATCTCTTAAACACTTAAAATTTCATATATACTAAAAAATTAAATGTAATTATAATTAGTCTATATTGTTAATTTTTGTTAATTTTTATATTTTATATACATTGACATGTTTTTTTATTTTTTAAATCTTAAAGAATATTAAAAACATGTCTTGTTTTGCAATACTCACAACATAATGAATTATATGAATCTTTTTACATGATGTATATTCCAAAACTCTTACAAAGTACTTTTCAATTCTATCACCTTTAATATACAACTATCAATAAAATTGAAAAAAAAATCAACATTAAAAAATCATTTCTAATATAATAGAATAGCAACTTCAAAAAGAAACATACACTATTTGATCTTTTATTGGTTTTAAAAATCTAGTATATATATATATATTTATAATTATATATATATATATTTTGGAATGATAAAGTAATCCAAATTTTTACTAAAGCAGCCCACTCTATTTTAACCATCATTGTACCCTTGCAACCTCCATTCTTATTCCCAACCATTCTTCGCTCCCAACTGTTGCTAAGATTGGGGACAAGGGGTTGAGAACATCAAGAATAAGAGCGACAATTGGGAACAGGGATAGGATTGAACATCTGGAATGACTATGAATGAGAACAAAGTTGAAAGGGTACAATGATGGTTTAAACATGTGGAACAATTTAGTAAAAATTTGGGTTGCTTTACCATTTCCCTCTCTCTCTCTCTTTATATATATATATATATATATCAAAATGATTAGGACATAATGTGCTATAAAATTCGGAGCATGAAACATAAAATTAAAAAAAAAAAAAAAAAAATCTTTGCAAGTAGGGTTTGTAAAGAAGAAACGCCCAATCCATCAGACAAATTATTAACAGAGTCACATTCTAATTCCATGACGAAGACCCAACGAAGGATGGTTTATGATTTGGCGCAAAGGGTTTGGCGCGTTCATCGAAATGCCACGTCGGACTCATTTCAGGGGGAGTACCAGAGCTGCCACCATCGCACTAGCCTTCAATTTCCCGCGCTCCCCACCCCCGGTCTCGCCTCACCGGGCGCCGTGCGACCCGGCCCGGCCCGGCCCGGCCTCCGTCTGCGCCTCGGCTCGCCTCGCTTAGTTGCTTGCCCTGGTTCGTTCGTTCGATCGAGCTTGACTGACAATACCCGACGACGACGATGTTGCATAATCTTGCGAGTACGAGTTTTTTCATGCGCATCGAGACCTGTGAGTGAGTGAGTTTTCATTCGCATCCTTTATTTGTGAAGACTCACTGACTTCGCTCGTTTCAGCGCGCTGTGAGAGGATATATTTTTTTACCCTTGAGAGCATACTTTCTCTTTAGGTTGGATATCTTGAGAGTTCACATGGAGACAGTGGCGTTGTGATTTGTTGTTATGTGAGATATTTCGTTTGGTTTTTGATGGAAGTTAGTTTCGGTGTGATGAGAGTTGTTTTTTGTGATGGGGATGCGGGATGCATGCCCTGTCTTGTAGCGTCGTGATAGGCGCATTGGTTTGCATCGATTGGAAGAGACCGAGTTATCGTGTAGAATCTGTTCCTTCGATTGCTGCTGATTTTTGTTTTTGTTTTTGTGTTTGTTTGTTTTTTTGGTTGTAAGCAGCGGTTGAAGGTTAGTTGCGGAAGATGAGTGTGATTGGAATATGCTACCCATCCTTAAATGGAATGTTTAGAATGATTTATTTACTTATTGATTGGAGTCGAGCTCATACCTATTGATGTATAGTATGTGCGCAGAGCTTTCTATTTGTGATGTTGTTCCGATCATTGTGAGTACTGCGATGGAATTGGTTATAATTTTGGTTGAGGGAGCGCTGTGGAAGAGCAAATAAGTCGGAGAACTGAGTCTGATCGTAGCAGAACAAGTGAGGGGGAGTAAGTAGACATGGAGGCCACGGTAAACTTTCCACTTGTGGGCCAAGAGCAGATTGCTCAATGGCTCATGGACACAACAGGCTCTCAGGAATCCGCTGTTCAGGCTGCCACCTCGCATCTGGAGGCTGCACAGAATTTACCCAAGTTTGCGCTTTTTCTTCTCATGCTATCCGCCGGTATTGTCCTCCCCCCCCCCATGTGCTCGAAATGGTTATGTTTCACGTAGAATTCAGAATGTCATGGGTATGGTACGCATGGCTAAGATAGCTTCAGAATGTACTTATTATTTCTTAGTTATTGCAGCAGTATCGTTTGTTTCATTTCATTTTGTTTTTTCAACAACGTGCTCCTCATGTCAACGGTAGCAGGATTGAGAATACAACGAATCCATCCTACACAGGACCACTTCACATCAGTCACCTTCAAAGCATCACTTGCACAGTCATGGTCATGGTGCAATTCTTTGCACTGTGTTACTCTCGTTCTAGATTAGCTTCCTCTTTAGCCTCTTTACTTCAATGGAAGACTTCACCCCTCATAGCCTGGCCTCTCTTGAAATCAATGATCAATGTTGCTTGAGTGCGGTGCAGGAGGTCAGGAGCAAGGGCAGAGAATTGCTGCTGCAACCTATTTGAAGAATTATTTGAAGAGGAATTGGTCAGAATCCCCTATTATGTCGCATGAAGAAAAATTAGAGTTTAGGAATCAGCTTGTGGAGGTGCTGCTACGCGTGGAGGGACTTGTTTTGAAGATTCTGACAGAAGCTGTAGGTTCTGTTCCTTCAACAGCGTTAAGATGGATTTCCTTGGCTTATTAGTATTGCAGAGAAATGGCTATAGTATGTTCAACCTTATACATCGCTTGCATTCCGGGTATCTCAAGGGGTCTGTCGTGGTTAACTTCAAAAAGCCATCCATTTAAATTAGCTATTTTCCTCTTGTCAAATATACCGCTTTCATTAGTTTCTCCTGACGTTGCTGAGGGTCTAGGCTTGTGAATTTCTAGGGGTACAAAAAAATACTTAAATTTGCCGAAAAGCGTAGAACGTATCATGAGAACTAGCTCTTTTTTGTTGTGATTAGCTCGGTAAATTTTGATAGTCATCTCAATGCAAGCCCCTGTATGTGTTTGCAGTTCCGTTTGGTGGTAGCCAGTGATTTTGCGAAGAAGATGACATGGCCAGAACTAGTTCCAGCTCTCAAGGCTGCCATACAGAATAGTGACCTTGTGATCAATACAGGAACTTCTGAGCTTAAAACACTAAATGTTATGATGGGTCTTCAAACAATAATCAAACCTTATCAGGTTACTCTCTTGCCTTACTGTAAAGCGTTCACATACCAACTATCTATTTTTGAAAACTTTAGTTTACGATTTTATATGCCTTATTGATATTGAAGCTATTAAGTGTGTGGTGTAGTATTTCATGGACCCAACAGTCGCCAGAGAACCTGTTCCAGATCAGCTGGAACTAATTTCGAAAGAGCTGTTGACGCCCTTGCATCCTATTTTTCATCATCTTGTCCAGCAGGTATCTGAATTTCATGTACTTTCTCTACTAAATTTTTTCTCTGTTCTAGCTCAGATTGATAACATTTTGTATCTTGTTTAAATTTTCGTAAACTCAGATTGTCTGGAATGAACATATCTCTCTGCTATATTTAGTATGTCGCTTGTTTCTGTTGTTTCCTTTATGAGATTTTCCGTCTTGTTGGGCAGATGAAGTTACTCCTGACAGACCTGAGAGATGGTCATGAATCAATCAATGAAAAGAGGATCATACTTTTATTGACAAATTTTTCTTGCAGGTTGTAGCAACAAAAGTTGAAGGCTATTCACAGCACGACGACATCCTCCTTATTCTTTGCAAGTGCCTATATCTTTCTGTAAGCACAATCCTTCGATTCATCCTGTATGGTAGATGATTTGTATAATATGGCCTCAGGCCCACCAATTAATAAGAGTGAACGGGTCTGCTTCGTTACAAACTGCTCAGGGATGAAATGGTTACGCTCAAGCCGTGGAGGAATGAAATTAGATGAAAGGCTCTTTGTGAGAGTTCCCACCTAACCTGGTGCACCTATGCTGCAGCTAACAGTGGACTCTTACTGTTTGGAATGGAGGAGGGATGACAGATGAAGTCACATATGCCGCAGTCATTACTTGCCTCTCTAGGACTATGGTTCCAAGATCTTATTGCTCTCTCGGAAACAGTAGATCTCGATAAGAAAATGGACCTTTCTGTGCAAGAACCAAGACTAAAGACGTGGAAGAGGGTGCTTAAAATATTTTGCAACCTAGTATCGCGGCATCGAAAGCACACAGACAAGTAAGATTGTTCAAATTTTCAAGCTACTCTGCTGATTTACTTAAGTCTATGTGCTCCTACCAAATCTTCGTGGTTCGATCTAACCTTAGCAATTTTGTGATGTGATCGCTGCAGGTCTTTATCTGCAATTGGGACTGCAGCTCTGACAATCATTTGGAGGAGTAAAACTGCTAAGGTAGCCCAACCGTCCTGTGATGCAACCATGTTCATGTAAGGATATGGTATGTTTCTAATGAAAGAGGTGTCCCTCTTTTCCATAATTATTCACGCATTTTGAGAAGCCGATAACTTGGCTCAAGCTGTTGGCTGTGTTCTTGATTTGACAGGATCTTCATCCAATGCAAGAGCGTATTGTGTCTTTAGCTTTTGATGTGGTGTCTAATATTCTTGAGACTGGCCCTGTAAGTTCATCACCCCGGAACATACTCATATCGGAATTTGTTATTCGGTTTCTTGTTGTGGTTTAAGGTTATGAACTTTTCAAGTTTTCAGAAAAAGTAGTCTAAGAGCTCTGGGTGTATGTTATTTTTTGTTGTTATATTGTTTTCTTTATCTCTTATGACCACCAATCTTAGTTCATTAAGTCGCTTCCGACTACACTCATGTGAGAAAAATGAACAACATTGAATCAACCTTGATCCGGTGACGCAAGCTAAGGTCATCATTCTATCTTCAAGTAATGATCACAAAACGTTCACCCGTTAAAGCCACCCTTCGCCATCATCAAATTGATCAAGAATCGACCAACTCCTACGGAATGGGGTTCTCCAACTTGAGCTACGTCACAAGAATAATTTCTTTTTGTGCTACAGGGATGGCTGCTGATGGCACCTCACTTCAAAAGCTTAGTGGAGAATGCAATCTTCCCTGCCTTAACAATGAAGAACAAGGTATATCATTTTCCTGCTGATCTTAGGGTGATCACGTGGCTTAAGGTCTGTTCTGCGTTTCCCCAGGGAAGCACGTCTCACTATTAGTGTAACTGAGGATCCTGATTCACTTGCAGGATGTCGTGGAATGGGTGGAGGATGAAGACGAATTTGTTCGGAAGAATCTGCCTTCAGAACTCGTAAGTTTATTTGTAGCAACTAGTTGGACATATCAATTTTATGAATTATTCTTTAGTAGCGCACTAATATTTTTTGTTATGAACATCTCCCTTATTTTTGGCAGGAGACGACAAGTGGGTGGAATGAAGTTATCTTTACGCCTCGGCAAAGTGCACTGAATTTACTGGGTCTTATTGCCACATCTAAAGTAAGTTTCTTGTGATCCTTTAATCGTCATGATTATCACTTTGTCTTTTAAGTAGTGAGGTAGTTTATCAGACCTTTTACACTTCGTCAATATCTTTTACAAAATATATATTCCATATTTTCGAGGTAAATAGTAATAATTTATAAGTGACCGCAGTGTCTGTTTGGCGGACTGTTCGTAAAAAGAAGGTAGTATAAAGTTGAGTCCGACGTTTATCATGTTAAGATGATCACATCTCTTTTGTGTTCATGTTCTGTATCATGTGTACTTTGTTGTCACTAAATTGGTTGTATGGGTGACACTGATTCGTTTGGCAATTGCCCAGGGTCCACCAACTGGTCAGGGAGTTAAGAATGTTACAACTATGAAGCGGAAAAAAGGTGGCAAAGGAAAATCTAAAGATGGGGAGGGTACTGCAGGGGAGGCTTTGGTGATGCCTTTCTTGTCTCAGTTTCCACTTCCTGCAGACGGTTCTCCACCGGATTCTGACGTAGCTGTTAAGTAAGTCATCCTCAATCTATTTCTTGTCATTGGTTTCTTTCTTTCCCGTCTGTCCTTCTGTCTTCTACCGTATGGTGTGAGTACCATTTGAGCGTAAGCAAATGAATGCAGAACCAGGGATTATCTCAACCTTTTACTTTCATATGGGTACGGCGCACTACCTGCATGTGTAGTCGTAGCGTCCTCGTGAGTAGTCTTCGGTTACGTTATTGGTGCATTTTTGTTGGTGACTACTGGATACATGTTTAAAATTTTATTGTCACTCGTTAGGTTCGGATCTTGTGTGGTCTATCTTATGAGGCCAATACGCATAACATTTCCTTGGTACTCGTATGCATTCAATTATAAATACGTTTCAAACCTGACAATGAAGACCTGGTGTTACTTTGCTCTTGTGGGTAAATCTGCAGCTATTTTGGAGCTTTAATGGCATATGGTGGACTATGTGAGGTGCTGATTTATAACATTACGTTGCATTTACTATGTTATTTTATATGAAACATAGTTTAAAACGTTATTGTTCTTATCATACCGATGTCCTCGTGCCGCATGGATATTATTTCGAGACAAGTGGGAGGAATAGAGTCACTATGATTTGTTACTCGTCCGAAATTCATAAAACTATTTGATTGTCTGTATAATGGCTAGAGTTGCTTTATATTACTAGACTAAGAACGATCTTGTAGATTTTATTCTTACTCCCTTTCTTTTTTTTATCTCTCTAGTCATGTTTCGTGTAATGGTTGTATATGATGCAGTTTCTCATGATACAAGAAGCTGAGACCATAACAACGCTGTTGCAAACTCGGGTTTTTCCCTTATATACCATGGCTTTGCCCTCGCCATATGTACTGGCAACATCAAACTGGTTGCTCGGAAAGTTGGCCACTTGCTTGCCAACAGTAAGATGCTTTTCTTCAAAAAAACTTATCTTGAATTTGTTACATAATATGCCACAGACAAGCTCCTCGTATTTTTGCTAAAGACATGATGAATATAGATACATTCATTTTTTACTCATAGTTCAAGTATATTTTTTCTAGGTATGTACTCCTCGCACTCTGTCGTGCAATATCTTAAATTTGTTATGGCTTGCCCGTGTTTTTTTCCTAGTGAGCAGAGACTCAATTATTGGTAATGTTGTTTTCGATTGCTGATGTGGTGCAGGAGCTCAATGAAGCTGTCTATACTGCGCTTTTGAAAGCTCTGTTGGCGCCGGATGTTGGAAATGTGTCCTGGCGACTAGTTCGACAATCTGCTGCAGGAGCTCTTACATCACTTCTCCAGGTGCTGCTGTGTTTTGCACATACCATCTTAGTCATCCTTGTTTTCAGAGTTGAAGTCTTGGCATGACCTCTTGAAGATATATTTTTTTTCTTTATAGTTCTCATTTCCTGAAGCATTTACTGCACAAGCCTCTGTACAAACATGGATGCACAATTTTTTTAATCTAATCCTACGTGTCCTCCCAGGTTGTATTTCTTACGTATGTTTGTTTGATAGTCTGTAGACACCAAAGATCTCAAACAAACGTGGCCTGGCAGGATGACTTCAAACCTACACACTGGATGCCTCTTCTCCAAGCCGCTGTGGCTGGGGCTAGAATGAAAGATGAAAGTGAAGCAGCCATCTCTTTGCAGCTACTGACCACTGCTGCTGAGGTAGGCGAGGATGATGTGGCACCTCATGTCCCAGATATTATCGATGCGGTTCAAGTAGAAATTTGTCAGCACTTTCCTCCACATCCAGAACCTTGGCCTCAGGTAATTTAATTCTATTCCTCAAACTCCAAGTGGTCCACCAAGCATGCTCCTTGGAGCTCGAGCATCTTTATTGGTTCCAAATCGAGGCATCTTGTATTATACTACTTGGATGTTGCATACCTGTATAATAATATGATTCTTTATCATTGGACTGCATTGAAGTGAAATTTGTTGAGGTCATGAGCGAGTTTAAGTAAGCTTGTAAGACGACGTTGCTGATGAAGTGCTATTTCGTATCACAATTTTCAGGTTGTAGAATTGGGATTTGCAGCCTTGGCTGCTCTTTCTCAGGCTTGGGATGCTACGGAACCAGAGGAAGATGAAGATGAAGACGAAGATGATGAAGTTTACCGCAAAAAGCTGGTTTATTGGAAGGCTGGATGCACCCAATTAGCCAACACCTTCTCCGCATTATTACAACGGGCATGGTTGACATGCATGCAGGTCGTCAATTGCCTTTCTCAATTGAGAACACTTCGTAATTCTTTGAATAACATACTTTTCGAACCTCTTAGTTTGGTCATTTCAATCACTTTCATAATGTGGTGGTCGTTTAGATCGTTCATATCTCTTTTTACTACAGGAAGATACACCACGGCCTACCCCTCCTCCTTCATGTTTGGGTGACACATCAATTTTGCTGGTCTCTATCTTGAGGTGCACACCGGATCAAATTACAGTCAAAAACTTGAAAGTAGAGCCGCTGCTGCATGTCTGGTCACATTTAATAATGGATTGGAGAGCATGGGAAGAGGAGGAAGACGAAGCAGTTTTCGATGTCATTGAGGAGGCTGTAGTTCTGCAGGTATGTCAAAACGTTCTATGTGGAACTTCTGTTTAGGAGTCGTTTGTAGTTTCTATTTCAGGATGCATTGGAAACTGCCCAATCATGCTTGATCTTCCTCGTCCCAAGAATCTAATGTGGGACATGAATTTCAGGGACGATGTCCAATGACATGTTTCGCAGATCCCGACGAAATAGTGTCATCATTCCCAGGTCCCCCACGGTCTGTTCTAGACAATTTAGTTACCTTTGTGACCAGCGCAATTGAATCAGCTTATCCAGCTGCGTGTTGGCGAGCATGCCGATGCTCTCATGCTCTTCTTCATGCTTCCTCGGTTTCTTTTGAGGATGAAGAGATTGCGATGTTGCTGGTTCCCCGGTTTTGCAAAGTTTCTATCGAACGCCTGCAGAGGCTGACAAGCATGACTGTTCCATTGGCCAAGCCCCTCACTCTTGTCATCTCTACGTGTTTCATCTTACTTCCTGAAACTGTGGAAAGGATATTATTGGCTGAAGACAATGCAGGTGATGTTGGTTTCCTTCGTTGGACCAACGCGTTGGCAGGGCTTGCAGAAAGTGAAGCAGAGCCTGGGCTGTCACTTGAGTCGGAGATGAAGCTTGCCGGTAATTCCTGCTTACTACGTTTATGTTTGCAATGCTACCTTTCCATCGTAAGCACTTAACAAGTATTGCAAGTTTTGACAAGCGCTTATGTCCTGCAGTTGTTTTATCTGCACATCGTTATTAATGGTACCTGTACAATCCTTTAGTATGTTCTATGTTTCTGAGAAATCACTGCCTTGAACGTCCATTTGAATATCAGAATAGCATCTCTAATCTCAGTCTTTGGTTGAGGGTAATGGGAGCAGCGATAGCTTTGCAGAAGGTGTTGGAGTATATCTTACAGAACGAAAAAAATTGTGGGCAAAATGAAGGACTCAAAGTAGCCCACCACTGCTTCCGCTCACTATTGGAGGTTATGGTAGATCTGAAGGAACTTCAGGAGATGACAGGCAGTGAGGAAACCGAGTCAGAATCTGAATCAGAAGAGGATGTTGAAGCAGATGAAGCAGATGAGAGCGATGAGGTATTTGTTTGAGGCATTTCGAAAATATCAAGGCTTGAAATTTTGGCAAATAATATGTATTCATGTTCAAAAGAGAAGTCCTTGAATCTAGCAATCATGGGACAGTTTCTGCTTAAATATAGGGAAATCTTTTGAATTGGTTGTGAAACGATGAGAAGGGAAGCTAGTGCAAACTACTAAGCTTAAAGATTCTTACGTGTAAACTAGCTTGTATCATTTTGAAGAATGCTTGCAGAGCTAATTACCTTCTTTTTTGAGGGTATGATTTGTTTGGCTGAGCCTTTCTGACTCGTTTATTCTATTGCAGGATCTACAACCTGTATCCGAGGAACGTGAGGGGACAGAGGAACAATTTCTGGAGCGGTATGCTGAGAGGTCTCGTGAATTACAGGACGAAATTGAGGAGGAAGCTGAGAATGGGCAGGATGAAGATGGTCACGAGATAGAGCTCGGTATGATCGTGGTTCTCATAACCTGGATTATCAGCATGTGTCCTACTTGTATTGTATTTTTGTTCCAGCACTCGGCTGTTAACGCTTCGACGTTCTCTGTCGAAGTCGTCGTGGTAGTATTTATAAATTGTCAATCTTGCCCTCACAGTTTTGGTTTATTGGCTACAGGTGTTCTAGCCCTAGTGGACCAGGAGGCCACTGTGTTGGGATGCATAACTGCTCACGGTAAAAGACTTCTGGAACAACAACAGTTACCTAAAGAACTTCTCGCCAGGTTCAAAGACAAGTTTCCTGCTTGCAAGGCTGCTCTACCTTAAATTTCTCAACGCACTAAAATGGCACGGTTTTCTTGGTCGACCTTGCGCGCAGGAAGCTTTGTTCTAAGCTTAATAGAGCATTTGATAACCTTCATGTACACCTACATTGCAGTGTGGTTTCTTTTCAGAGGTATCTGGACATTCCGAGGGTAAAAGGTGCATACATAGAAGCTTAGCATGACACGAAGTCGGTGCTTCGGAACAGGAGTAAATTGAATGTAATGTTGAGAACATGTATTGTCAAGTTTATCGTACTACTACTGTCTGGGATACTACAATGTCCTCTTTAGGTTAATGATATCATTAGCCTCTACTTCATTGCCATCTTACGTACAGATTTGGCTTCCAGTCAATCGTCAGGTGACGTATTGAGTGAACCAGGTTTTTGGGTCTGTAGGTTCATTTTCACAGATTTATGATGGTCAGTCACTGCAGTTCATAAAATTATCATTCAGAATTCAGGATCATGGTTCCTTCAGAAAGGAATAAATTCAGGTTCCACTTCTAGGTCATTTCCTCAACCGGATCGCACCGTTTGCCGCATCCCAATTCCACCGGCGAAAGAAGTTAAAACATCAGCTAAAAATCATATTCTATCAATAAAGGTAGTACTAATTATAATGGCTGATGCAATCAGTAGTTGTAATCCCACTTAAATGGTGAAGTTCTAATTGTCTAAAATTATATGAACCATCTGAGCTCAACTATTTTTATAGCGATATTTGGAAACCTTAAGCTTGAACGTAATTGCGCAATCAAATAATGGTATCAATGTACGACTTGCCAGGGAAAATCTCTAGTAACAATAAGTTGATAATATATATATATATATATATATATCTATATCTATAGAAATGAAGAAGAAGGGCAAATAGAAAACCAACCAATTTTTAGCTTCGGCTTGCAACTTTTAGGTTTCAGAAGATCAAAAACTATTTTTTTACAAAATATATTTGCTAACAACAAATTTTTTTTAAAAAAAACATAACATTGAGTTATAATGCTCACAATAAATAGTAACTAACTTTGTATGTGTTTTGATTTAAAGCCAACATAATTAAAGATCATTCTAAAAGAAATAACTTATATAAAAATATTTAAAGAATTTAAAAGTTCTATAATCTTAAATAAAAATTTTAGGCTATAAAAATCTTGCTAAAAATATAAATAGAAAGCTTGCACATCGTTTAAAAAATTAAAAAAATTTCTTTTTTAATAGGATCATTTATAAAGAGGAAATAAATCAAGAATTTTTATTATAAAAAAAAGTAGTTTAATAATATATTACTAGGTAAATAAAAATTATTTAGGATAAATTATGCAAAAAATTATGCAAATATTGAATATAAAAACTTATAGGAACAAATATCTCTTACATACATTTTAAAATTCTTTCAATTACTAAATTATATTAGATTGAGGTGAAGAAATTGTACCAATTGCTTAATAAAAAATCCTTGTAAATTCTACCACAAATTTACAAGTTTGGACCTATGCTTTTGATTAGTATTATATTAAATAATCATATTTTTTAATACTCAATTTGTATTTTAAATATATGATCTATTGTTCCTTCAATTTTACACATCATGTTAGAGCCTTCTATAATCATGTATTCCCACTTCATCACTTCTCTACCTCCAAACTTCAGTTCTTCATATATTTCTCTAGCACTTAAATAATCTCTATCACAAATTCATTAGTGGCTACAACAATCAAAGAAAAATCAATTCATTTTGATTTACTTATTTAAAAAAAAAAATGTGTCCAATTATCTTATGTCTAATATTTTTAATGATTTTAAAATTTTGATCTTGATTTTATTTGACTAGATATAAGTTTTGGCCTTTGCTACTTAACTTTGGATTTTAAGCATACTTGATATAATATCTTTTTTACAATGGAATTAAATACAATAATATGTTTTATTTTATTTTATTTTATTTTTTATATAAATTCCTATTAGTAGTCATTGTTTGTATACATGCTCTCTAATCTAATATACTAAATATTCTATAATTTATTATAAAAGCTAGTTATCTTTTAAACTTAATTTTTATTAAAATAAAATAGTGGTAGTTTTTAATTAAAATCAAGATTACTATTTTTTTACTTAGATATGACTATAATTATATTGGCATCTAAAAATAGATATTAGATATTATAAAAACCTAGCTTCATTTCCACTCATTTAACTAGATATCCATACCGACCTTGTCAAATAATTATGCACATTCTTTCTTTTCAATCTAATAGGTGTATTATTGAAGTATCATAAAATTAGTATTTTTGCACAATAGTAACTGTATGTCATAGACATATATATGTAAACCAATAATTACCTATATGATTATATAAAAATAAGTAAAAATAAGTTAATTCCATAATATCTTCTATAGAAGCTTCATAGACGTTGCTTTGACTATATAAGTGTCTATAATTGACTTTTTAGATTAGAAACATGGTCAATAAGTTAGCCATGTGCTACACATGTTGGTAGCTTGAAGAACAAGCTAACTATATGGTATTTACATAGAAAACTTGCCTTGTAAGTTAAAACATATGTCTTGCAAAGTCAACACATATAAGAGGTCCTATAGAACATCGCCACATAGCTCCTAGTAAGATAGTATATATAGAGGTAAGAGTGAAGCCCTCTTCACTCTTGTCAACTATTTTCTTGCTTCTAGTTTAGATTCAAGAGTCTCTGATTTCCTTGTCTTTTGGCAATAGCCATTTTAGTTTCTTTTGAATATACATACTATTTTATTTTTATTTTTTTCACTTTTTTTTTCGATACAAATTTCTCAAGTTTATGCATCTTTTCTAGTTCATGTCCTTGATACTCTAATTTTAATTTAACTTCAATACAATATCAATACAATGACTTCTTTTTCTTGAATTCCAATCATGCTTTTTAAAAAATTAATCTAATTATTATCTTTTATAAATAGATAAATCTATTAATTAAAATCACTTGAATAATAATAATATAAAAGTAAAATAAAATACAAAGATTTACCATTTAAGAAGAAGATATGTTTTATTCCATAATTTTCTAATTTTACTTAATTGATAATATCTTTCTAATTAAAATATATCTTCTATTTTGAATTTATTATTATTAAATAACATGACAAAATGAAACATCTAATTATTCTTTAACAATCTAATTGATAAAAAATAATTATTTAACAATGTATAGATAAGTTAATTAAAAACTTATTATCAAATTTGAATTTTAAAATTAAATTTTTTCATTATTTTTAAACAATAGGCAAAATCATGAAATATTTACATAGTTTTATTGCCATTTGTGTGCATCCTTGTAAATACTATGTCCTATAACAAAATTCTAATTTTGATTGATAAATTAGACTAAGTCAATCTTTAAGCTTTTCTTTGATTTATTACTTTTATTTTTTTTTAACTTCTTTTGATAAAAAAAAGTTTTTTGAAGAGCCATCTTGCAAAATAATATTTCTTAATTTTGGTAAAATTAGTTATTACCTTTTTTTTGGTACTTAGATTCAAATTATCAATTAGAATCAAATATGCATCTTAAAGAAATTATGTGATACACATTAGTTCCAATAATTGGATCTTGTAACAAGAAAAATAATAAAGCTTGTTAAAATTTGCCATATCCTGACTTTGTTGACCTCCAATTTAAATGTCAAATAATATTTGATACTTCTAATACCATTGCATTAAGATTGCCACATAAAAGATAATTTGGAAATACAAAAGATCCTTGTGATATCAATAAATGTTTAAAAATTTAATATAAACTTAAATATAATTAATTTAATTATCAAGCTTTCTTTGCAATGAGGTATGGATAAGATATTTGTATTATTGATATATGGAAATAGATAGTTGGAGCCATATTTGAAAAGTTTTTAGAAGTTTTTAGAATTGAGGTTAGATTGGTGGTCTATGTGGGATCTACCATAGAACATTCTAGAAAAGACCTAGAGCAGTTATCTAAGTAGGATTATAATTAAGAATATTCTAGAAAGTTCCAAAATGATATAAATAAGATTGGCCAAGGCCATTTGGACACATGGTTAAGTATAGCTTTGGTTTCTTTTTCTTAGTAAAGTTTGCTTTTCATTTTTCTGTTCAATTCTATTTTATTTTTTTTTGCTCTATTTTGCCTTTCATATTCGATTCTGTTTAAATTTTTTCAATTTTTTTCTAATCTATGTTGTCCTATGTTGTGATGGGATTTAAATTGCTACAGATTAGAAGGATCTTAGTTCTTAAAGATAGTTCATTCTAGTTTCATTGGAATTAGAGTAAATGTTAATTTATTCTTTAGTAGTCAATTGATAGTTACTGTTTAATTAAAGATCAATTGTTGTGCTTACATCATGTATTATTTTGGAGCTATCACAAGCTAGTTTTAAGAAGTCTATTGGAAGGAAAAAAGACATTACAGTAATAGAGTTTAGTAAAGAAATTGCAACATAGGAGATATAGCAAAGCAATCCCAAATAGAGACTTGGATACAATACCTACTAGATTAGATAACTACTTTGCAAGGACAAATACAAGCCTTTAGGTCAAAAGAATTGACATCTATTAGGTTGAAACTAAATAAGCATGATATATACTCTACGACTTCAAGGCAAGAAGATATATGCCAATGGCTCTTTAGCATGCGACTATATTTCCAATTATTTGAGACAAATACCACCAAAGGAATTATATATGTTTTCAGCTATTTGAGAGATGTGGTAGCCATTTTGTAGCAACATTGAGTTCAAAGCTATAAAACTCAAGGCGGATTTTGTCACTGGAAGGAATTTGACACTAAATTTAGGAGTCAATTTTTGCTTATCAATGCAGAGAAGATAGCATGCAATTAGTTGGTTAATCTTACACAATCCAATTCAATACAATATTATATTTCTTAATTCAAGTTTCTATATCTTTAAATTGACAATCTTTTAGAGGAAGAAATAATGGATTGGTTTGTATAAGGATTGAAACTTATGATCTAGCAAGAGATGGAACTAACACATCTACAAACATTTGAAGAGGATTAGGATTGCAAAGAGGGTTGATGTTATAGATTTCAAAAACCATAGAATGTATCCTATATTGTGAAGTCTTGTGTTGCTATCTAATATTATGATAAAATAACCAACATCAATGGATGTTGATGCTATATAAGGATTACTGATACCAGAAAGATGAAATTTTTGATTTAAAAGAAATTATATTTCTATTATTGGGAATTAGGCTATTAAATTAAAGATAATCTAAAATATCAAAATTTAGGTATCAATAAATTAAGATAGATTTAGAATTTTA